GCTTGGAGCCTAGTCCATTGTCCAAATTTCGATTTGAGGGCTCCAAGTACGTGTTCCTTGCAATTGCCTGCTCAGTATACTTTGAATTGACAGTCTTTATAGTAATATGAAACCTAGGGAGGTAGTGTAGCACTATGGAGGATGTTGATGCATTTAAGAAGTCTCATTTCTTCTTCATATTGTGTTGGTTGATTGAGTGAATTAGTGATCTTAGGACCCTTGAATTGTGTGGTGTTGTGGACTCTCTACCTGTGATGGACTCTTGTTTCAGGTTTTGAGTTTAACAGGTGCTCGAAAATGTGCTTTAAAATAACGTCTCCTGTGCGAATAGGGCGAAAGTGTGTAAGGGGAGACGGGAATTCGTTCCCAATTTCCCCCTACTACCTCCAGCCCCCTTACATGTCTTTCCCCCGCACGAGGCTCGAGACACCCGCTCCTGGCATGGCCGGTAAGAGCCGGGCTCCCGCAAAACCTCTTCTAGGTGGGAGCCCCCATTTTCTGAAAAGCAGGTTGGGACCCTTGAAAAAAAAGAGGAAAAATAACAGAAAACAAGCAAAACAGAAAGAAAAGGGGTTCCAACCGTCTTCAAAAAGAAAATAAGAGCACCTTGAAAAATGTGAGTCCATGATCTTTTTTTTTAGAGTCTCTTTGTCCACGATTCATTTGTCCTCTGTTCACTATTTGCCATGATGCCTACTCGAGACTAGCGTTCTCGCCGAAGAAGCTATGAGATGACTTGTGCGTCGGTTGACCTCGTAAGCTGCTAAATGATCTAGAAAATTCTCTATCAACGATCGAGGGTGCATGTTGCTATAGAGGTCTGGAGAGCTGCATTGGTTTGAGTTAGGTTTGCTTGGGGACAAGCAAACGGTTAAGTGTGGGGGTATTTGATGACTCGATATTTGCACATGTTTTCCCCTTTGTTTCTTGATTGTTTGAGCTTTAACTATTGCGTCTTTGGCCTATTTTAAGCTAGGTTGTGTTCCTTTGTCACATTTCAGGTCCTAGCACATAAAGTGAAGCATAGGCGCAAGTTTCAAGTCAATCAGAGATCAATTGGCGATTAGGGAGAAGAAACTCGGGCATGACCTGAAGAAGAATGAATTTATACCTCACTTTATGGACAAATAATCATGCAAGCTTGTCATGAAAAGAAAGAGGACGAGACTACGAGCGTCTGGGATCAAACGATGACTGATTCGGAGTCCGGACGAGGGAGAAACGAAGCATTGAATATAGGGGAACAGGTTCGGCAGTAAAAACACGGGCGCGCCTAAATCAAAACACGGCCGTGCCCATATTTAGGAACGACCGTGTTTTGGCCGACGCGCGCGAGGGTGTTTTTAACACGGGGCAAAACACTGGAGGTCAAAAGCAAAGCACGGCCGTGCCCTCGACCGTGTTTTGCCCAGAATCAGGTTTTTTAACGCAAATTCGAGCCAAAGGAGAGAGAGAGCTGGGTTTTGGATCCAAAACACCCAAGGGACGAACCAAAGAGAGAAAGGGCGATCTGAGGGCATTCTAAGAGTGGAATTGGAGGATTTCTTCGCCTTGGAAGCTCGAGGAACAAGCCCGGACTTGAAGACTGATCATCTGAAGATTCTTACTGCAGTCTCTCTCTTCTCTATGGAGTAACTTCCCTTCACTTAGGTTTTGAGGAACCCTAGCTATGTTTGTTTGATTGGATGATTGTATGAGTACTCTGACTTGATAATCTTGAGTTCATATTCAATCTATGCATGTTTTCATGATTCAATTCTGCTTTAGTCGAGATTATTGATTCTGCTTTGATCCTATGAGAGGGAATGCCTGATTAGGTCAATAGAGCACCATAGATTGATAGTAGTGGATCGATTGCTTTAGTCGAGGGTTGATTCACTGCTTTGTATCGATTGAGAACCTCTTTCGATAGAGGGAGTCTAGTTCAGAATGCCTTGATCATTTGTTCTAGAGAAGGATACGTCCCTCTAGGCAATTGACTCAAGAGGGCCTTGTTCCTTTAGTCGAGACTCAAGGTCTAGTCAAGGATTCTCCGCATTGTGAATGAAAGAGAAACAAGTTAGAAATCATCAATCGTTAGTCTGGCTAGTGGCTAAGGGGAATCATACCTAAGTGAGTTCCCAACCTGTAATTAGATTAACTTTAACTGTAGTTTGCTAGAGTAGTTTTAGTTCTTTCATCTTAATCTGGTTTGCTAAATAATAAACTGAAGTTGAGTAATAGTAACTCTAGAGACCCGTGGATTCGATATTTATCACTTGAGCCACTATAATGCAGTCCCTTTCATTGGTTACACTTGGCCTTTGTTAGGAGTTGTGTCATAGCGAGTCAATCTGCTCATCCACTGTCAGGAGCTGGCGCCACTGGACGTGACAAAGCACCCCGGACATTGCGGCTCGGCACCTGAATAGGTTGAACATGTTCAGGTCCAGTCGCTAATGGGGCTCAATCGGGCTGTCCCTCTAGTAGGCGAACTTGTCGCCAAACTCCGTGTAATGCACCAGGTAGCTGATGTACACGTGATCCAAGTTAAGCATCCTGCAAAAATTGCCAAACATACACCATACGTGGAAACAATCATCAAATAATGCTGATTGGGAGGAAAATAGATTCCCCCCCCCCCCACACACACACTTATGTTTCCACTAAGGATTGCAAACATTTAATCTCAAGCACACCGTGGCATGGTTGTGGGTACTTCACAGTTCACTCATACAAAAATTTGAACCGCAACCCAAACCACGGTGGCCACCATCCACCAATAGAGCATAAATCGCCACACGCATTCATAAAATAGCACTTGGTGGGCAAATTCTAAAAATGAAGGCAATTCGGTTCAAACACGCCCACAAAGGCTCATGCAACAACATTCCACCATTCAATTCACCTAATTCCTCGCCCTAATTCTAGGTTCAACCTTCAAAGCATCAAAATCATCCTCACTTCCCTACCTAATCCGATTCTCCCAAAATTAACAAGGTAGAGCTGAAAAACCAACCTGGAGATACAAGTAGGAAGTAGGAGGAAGTGAGGTGCGGGCGAGGAAGGCGAAAATTGGCCAAAAACAGGCCGGAGTGGGGTCGTCGGAGCTTCGTTGCCGACGACTTGACCGGGAAAAAACTTGCCCCAAATCTCCCCAAAATCGCAGTACAGGTCGGTTTTGATGAAGGGAGAATGGGTATGAAGTTGGTTTTGGGTTTTGCTCACCGAAAATGGGTAAAAAAGTGAAAAACCATCGGAGTTTCACGATTTTCCGGCAAGTTTGGGTCATGAAATGAAGAGTCACCGTTCACGCTCTTTTTATAGGCGAAGTAGGGAGTTCATGGACGCGTTGGCCTGTTCACGGTCTTAGAGACCGGGAACACTCAAATCCGTCCGTGAACTGAGGTTGGTCGACAGGTGGTGAACATGCAGAGGTGCCCAGTTCACGGACGCATTTGCCTTTTCATGGCCTTGTAAGACCATGAACTCAGCAATCTGTCCGTGAACTTCAGCGAAAACAAGTCACTTCTGAGAAAAATTTGACTCAACCTATTCCACTGTGCCTCCTAATCGATCACAAAACAACCATAAAACGCAAAACCACACAACTTGGCATGGGGATACCACTTGACCACTTGAACTCTTCACTTGACACAAAAACGAAAATAAGAAAAAGAAAACAAACCTTCGTTGGGTTGCCTCCCAACAAGAGCTAAGTTATCGTCATTAGCTTGACGGTTGGGGATCAATCAGGTCTTGGAACGTGGTGCCACCGAGAGTGGATCCACCAAACTCTCGGGGCGAGGCTGGTTGCCTCCCATCTTAAGCTCCATTAGTTGGCCCTCTTGGTTGGCCAGCTTAGCTTTGGCCGTCTCCTTTCTTCGGGCCAAAGCTTGCTTCATCTTTTGCCTCCAAGCGTTCTTCCTCTTTTCCTTGGGCATAGTACCCTCCTTGACTTCCTGCTCAACATCACCACAAGCAACACAAGTAATAGTGGGGTTCGCCTTGAGATGCTCTCCTCCACTCACATTCACATATTTCGAAACCAATTCCTTCACTTCCTCACTTCCAACATTAGGGTCAATTTCATGCTTGATCCTCTCCTCATCATCCCTCAGAATTAAGGTCCCCTCATTAATGTCTATCAATGCCTTGGTGGTGGCGAGGAATGGACGACCGAGTATGAGTGGCATATCTGATTCCTCGCTTATATCGAGAATCACAAAATCGCTCGGATAGCAAAACTTGCCTACTCACACCAACATGTCCTCCACAATGCCTCTCGGGCTAATGACAGAACGGTCCGCTAAAGTGATGCTAAGCTTAGTGGTCTTAAGTTCACCTACTCCGAACTTTTTGAAAAGCTTGTATGACATCACATTAACACTAGCTCCTAGGTCCGCCAAGGCATTGTCTATATGATGGTTACCAATACCAAGAGGGATAGTAAAGCTACCTGGGTTGGACCGCTTTTTGGCCAAGCGGTTGAGGAGGAAAGCCGAACACTCCTTGCCAAGAGTAACGTTGGCGAGGCCTTCAAGCTTTGGTTTCTTGGTGAGGAATCCTTTGAGGTACTTAGCATATCTTGGCATTTGATCCATGGCTTCAAGGAAAGGGATATTGAGGTGGAGGTTGCGGAGAATTTCCATAAAACCTCCATACTCGCTCTCTAACCTCTCCTTGTACATCCTCGTGGGGAAAGGAAGAGGTGGCTTGTACTCAACCACCGGAGGTTATGTCGGCGATGCCTTCCTTGCCTCTTTCTTCTCTCTCCTTGACGGCCCTTTCTCTCCATCCTTCGGGTTGGGATCTTCCTTCTCAATCACGTCTTTAGTGGCGATGCGCGGAGTCACCTTTCCACTTTGCACTTGAATTGCATTCACCCCGGCATGATCCTTGGAGTTCGCCACGGTTGGGAACGTAGGTTTCCCTTTGGTCTCTCAGTGAGGATCCCGACAAGATTGCGTATTTGCACTTCCAAAATTTAGAGGCTCTCTTGTTGGCTTCGGAGTACCGCCTCAACCAAGGTAAATTTGTTATTCGCCACATCCATGAATTGCTCAATCTTCTCGAACTTTTGAGCACTCGTGCTCACAAATGTGTTCACTAGGTCTTCAAGCTTGGATAGCTTGTCGGGTTGTTGTTGTTGTTGAAACCCTTGACCACATTGAGTGAGATTTGGTTGTTGGAAGTTTGAGCTTTGGACTTGAGGTCTTTGTTGGATGAAGGTCGGCGAGGTTGATGATTGCCGATGGAGCCTTGAAAACCCGAGGGCCTCGGATTTGTCGGTGATGACCAAGCAAAATTGAGGTGGTTCCTCCATCCGGGATTATAAGTGTTGCTATACTGGTTATTAGCCCTAGCATTTGCCAGGAAATTGACTTGCTCCTCCGGAGTGGTTGCCTCCTTCATTGCTTGGCACTCCTCCATCTCATGGCTAGTGCTCAAACACCAATCACAAGACATCACTGGCCTCTTTCCTTGCTTCTTACATTCAAGAATTACCACTATCAACTTGTCCAACTTCGCCTTAAGTGGAGCGCTCGCTTCCACACTTCTCACTCCCCTATCATTGCTTCTCCTCCCACTTCTTGTCAATCCCCAATCTTATCCCTTGAGGGCCATTTCTTCAAGTAGCTCGATCACTTGGGGTGGAGTCATATTCATCAATTTCCCTTGATACAGTGAGTCAATGAGAATCTTGTCTTCTTGGATTAGACCACTGTAGAAAGTTTCAATCCGAAACTGTTCTTCGAACCCATGGTGAGGGCATTGTATAAAATAATCGGAGTATCTCTCCCGAGCATCCCTCAAGGTCTCGACTTATTCTTGCTCGAAATGGGTAATCTTCTTTCTCCACTACGCCGTCTTTGAGGGCGGGCAGTAGAGGGACATGAATTTGTTGAGAAGATCGTCCCATGAGGTTATTGAACGAGGCGGGCGGTTGTTTAGCCTCCGGAGTGCTTTCCCCGCAAGTGAATAGAGGAAAAGCCTCAGTTGCAAAGCTTCAGCCGGCATGCCATTGATATTCAAGCTCCCCGTGAGCTCTAAGAATCTTTGCATGTGCTCTCTTGGTGACTCGCTCTGAAGACCGTGGAACAAAGCATTGTTATGTATCATAGTCACTATAGCCGGCTTGATCTCGAAATTGTAAGCCGCCACGGGAGGGTGTAGGATTGATGATTGAATGTACGCCAGCCGTGGGGCCATATAGTATCCCATTCCTTGGGGCTTCCTCTTCCGTTGCCGCATCGTTTAGATTACGAGCTTGGGAGGCTCCTGGTTCTCTTTGGTTCCCCTCCATTTCTACTCCAACGACGGGTTCAACTTCCACTTCTTCGACTTCTTCTCCACTAGCACCGGGACCCAAATGTTGTCCCCTTTCTTCACCTCTTATCCTTGCCTCCGCTAGCTCTCTCTCTCGTGCTAGGAGCCAGAGAGTTTGGTTTATGCCATCGTCACGGGGTAGTAAAGGTGTCCGATTGCTCTGGGTCATGCACCTCCCTACACACAATCAGAAAACAACACCAAGTCTAGCACGAGCAAAGCACACAAACTTTCAAAACTGAAAATTAAAAGCTAGATTAACACCAAACAACTTTTTCAAGATTACAGACCGTTGTCCCCGGCAACGGTGCCAAAAACTTGAATTGCTCCGAGTATCTCAATTAATTCCCTGCTAAGGTCTAAGTATGAACCATAGTAGGGTGCAATACAGGGCAAGTATGTTTAAATATAGACTCGGGCGGGTCCGTGTGTACCCCTACTTCAATTGTTTGAAACATTATCTAGAAAATCGGTTTCGATTGAGAAGTTTGCTAGTTAAAGTCAAACAAGGCAAAAGTAAATGGTTTTGAAAGCTCTTTGTGAGAAGGATCATTCGGGTGTCGCTTCCCCCTAACTACTTCCATGGCATGTGAATCAAAGTGATTGCCATCGGCAAGGTGACCGCGAACCGCTAGGAAATGCAGCAATGGTCGTAGACCACACTCTCGATTGCCAAACCAAGGGATACACTATAGGCTACTCAATTAGCCCTCCTGGTTAAGGCAATCGATGGTTAATTTACTCTCTCACTCAAACCCAAGGGTTGGTCGGCTTAATCGCGCTTAACCAATTTGCTTAATTCGACATAGTGGTTTGCCCTAAATTAACCTAGATTTGTGACTTAAAAATCCCAAGGAATCCCAACTCGATTGAGCCTCCCTTGAAAGGGGGTTTTCCCTCTAATCTAGGTTAGAATGGCCAATTGGATTGCTAAGCACAAACATGCACAATCAACATGAAAAATACCTAAATCATTAAATTAAACAACACCCATAAACAATCATTCAAACCACACAACAACTACATGGTAAATAGTTAGGGTTTCACAACACCCAAGTGAAAAAGGAAACTACTCCATACTAGAAAGGGAAAGAACACAAGAGGAAGAGGTAGAAACCACCATGGTGATGCCTCCAATCTCCTTTGAGCTTGTGTTGATCTTCTATTGGGGAGAATCTTCCCACCACTTGGAGCAAACCCTAGCTGTCTTTCTTCTTTGCTTCGTTCTTTCTCACTCTAAAATCTGAAGAAGAAGACACTTTCTCACTCTTGGACTCTCCCCTTCTTTCTTCCTTTCAGATCCTCTTTTAAATAGGGATCGGGCTCAGTTCAAGGCCTCAGTTCACGGCCGTGAACTCTTGAACGCGTCCGTGAACTCAAGGTTGGCGTCGAAATGCATCGCTTCGCTTGCTGAGGTTCACGGGCAACAGCTCCAGTTCACGGTATTATTGACCGTGAACTCGCCTGGCGTCAGTAACTTTGTCAAGTGCCCTGGACGCCTTGATGTTCACGGCACATGCATCCTCTTCACGATCTTAGCAGACCATGAACTCACAAGGGAAACCGTGAACTGCCAGTTTTTCACCTCTTCTCTTGGTTTTCACTCCTTTTCGTCCAACTTTCGACTCCGGGGATGGTTTCATCTGTTAGATCCTGAAACGTGCTAAAACACCAGAACCTAGCGTAAAACCATCCTTTTAGGAGCACATTTGCCACAAACTCCTAAGGAAAATGGGGATAAAATGCGCACAATTAGGCCCGAATCATCTAACTTCTTCAAGAAGGTTAAAGCCTATTTCTACACGGACTAAACCTATCCTTTGTTAAGTAATGAGGTTCTTAATGCGATAGAAGTTTGATTGAAAAAGAAGTGCGGAAATATGGCTATTTTCCGTAACCCAATTCATGGATAATAAGTTGTAAGTAAATAGAGGGAACTAAAAACACATTTGTGAGTGAAGTACCACAAGAGAGCTTCACGATCCCTATAAGAGTCACAATATCATGTTTTCCATTAGGTAGGGTTACTAACCGATTAATCCTATTTCTACATCTAAGAAATAAGATGTGGTCACTTACTCCTGTATCCAACAACCATAAGGCACTATCATGTTGTTTTCGAGTAGAAATGGTGATGTTACCTTGCATCAAGGGGTTCCTTATCAAGTGAAAGGTTATCGTAACATAGCTTTCGATTTGTCAGGCTCTTTATTAGTGAACACGAAGAAAGAAAGAAGTGTTTTGTTTTGACTTGCATGAGTTATCAAAATGTAAGCATGGGCTCCTCTGGTTCTTTGTACTCAGTTTTTTAATATTTATTTATAGGTAACCTATTCATCAAATTAATGCGCAGCTGATGTTACATCATCCAGCTGAAGCTGGTCCATCAGAAATATTGGTGGCTTATCCAGCCACACCTCCCTCCACTCCTGATGAGTCTCATTATGAGTCATAATATCAGCCGCATTATTCGCCTCGCGTCGAACATGCCCAATGCTATCTATATCAGATCCCGACTCCCGCAGATACCTCCCAATGTTCTGACACAAGATGCCAATCTTCGTATGAATTGTAGCAGCATGTTTAACTTTGTCCACCAAAGACAAACAATCCACCTCCAGCATAAGCTTAGTCATGCCCAAATACCTTGCTAGCTGAACTCCAAACTCCCCGGCCATTGCCTCCGCCATCTCCATCGAGTACACCCCCTATCTTCTTTACAGCCGCCGCAAGAAAAGTGACCATCATGGTTCTGAAGAACCGCTCCCAACCCTATCCCTCCATCAGCAAAAATTGTCGCATTCGTGTTTACCTTCATGATCCCACTCGTCAGTATTCTCCAAGTAGTTGTCCCGACCAATGAATCATCTACGTCATCAGCAACTTGGTTGAGCTGGTATTCCGCTATCAAAGAGGCTACTCGCGTAGTGAACTCTTCCTCCATCCACTTCTTGCCATTAAAAAGTTGCACGTTTCTTTCTTTCCATAGCGCCCACATTAGCGTAGCCCATTGTTCCACAGTCTCTTTCTCCATCTCACGCAGAGTCTTGATCACCCTCTCCATGCAGCTTGCTGCCCCATGCATGTTAAAAGCCTCTCGCACTAGAGTGGGTCTCCTGATGATTATAGAAAGGGAAAACATCACTTCATAGTGGATTCTTTGTGGTCACCTTTTACCCTGTGGGTAAGGCCTCCCTCGTGAATCTCCAAAGGAAATGTCAAACTTTCGGGGGAGCATTGAGACTCCGGATCGATTTCCATAGCTCCGCAATTCTAGTAGTAACTATGTCAGCTGAAATCTTGAAATCTTTCAGCCACCTCTTGTAACCATCCCTTACATTGAACTCTCCATTCACACTATGGTTCCAAATCACCTTATCCCGTTCATCACTGCCTCGCAGGGGGATTGCAAGAATGGTCTATGCAATTTCCCGCAGGGAAACAGCTTGCCAACAGGTCTCAATCCCACTATTCTGTACTCGGGTCAATGAGCTCTCTAACAACGGATTCCACCGGGAGTCCTTGTGGGGAAACATCCACGTAGCCCGTACTTGAGTTTGGAAGCCAAAGATCCCCCCCCCCCCAAATTCTCATTGTCACTCCATTTCCAATACGCCATCGCAAGTCTTTACACAATAAATCTTGATTTCCCATCAAACTATGCCACACAAAACTTGGGCGACTACCAATCCTCGCATCCAAAATAGAACTATGCTTATGATACTTGGCCGCCATTAGACGTGCAATCAATGAATTTGGTCTTTGGTGGAGCGACCATAGTTGCTTCGCAAGTAAGATAAGGTTGAAGCGCTTAAGGTCCCAGAACCCCAGTCCTCCATCCTCCAACACAACCAGCTCTTCCCAACACAGCCAATTTGCTCTCCTTTCAGCTGCTTTTTGTCCCCACCAGAAATTTGTAATCAAGCTGTGAACTTTACCAACTGTCCCAACTCCGTTAGGGATCTTGAAGATCGACATCGCATATGTTAGTTTCCCCAAATGACACCTTCGACTTATGGAAATTCATCAACTGTCCCGACTCCGCCTCATATGCCTGTAAAATGGATTTAAGGGCAAGGCCCTCCTGTTGCGTGGACCTAGAAAAAAAGATATTATGGTCAGCGAAAAAAGATGGGTAATCACCGGAGCTCCTCGTGCAGCCAGTTCTCGGACGCGAATTTAGCTCTATAGGACGATAACCCCTCTGCATAGAACATGAATAGGTATAGTGATAGCGGGTCGCCCTACCTGAGACCTTGACTTGGTGAAATAGTCGCCAATATATGCCCATTCACCAACACCGAATAGGTAACTGTAGTTACCTCCATCATAACCAACTGGATCCACTTTTTTGCAAATCCCAACCAGCGCATAATGCCCACAAAAAATGTCATTCCACACGATCATATGCCTTCCACATATCTATTTTCGCAGCAAAGAATCCATGCTTCTGCTTTTTGTTATCTGTGATGAGACGCCCTAGAACGAAAGCACTATGTTCCGTAAAAATAATCATGTCCAAGATCAGCTTCGGCCTATTCACAAGGACTTTTGACACTAGCTTATACATGACGTTACATAGACTGATCGCCCGGTAATCTATTGGAGAATTCGACTGCTTAACTTTCGGGATCAAAGCTATAAGAGTGTGATTCAACTCAGTAGACATCTCCCTGTCTCTAATATCCTCAAGAATGCCCCCGCAACATCATCAACAATAATATGCCAGTAGTGTCGGAAAAACAAAACTGACATACAATCGACACCAGGAGATTTCCGTTTCCCCAAATCGTAGAGCCTGCCACATCTTGTCAAAACTTCATTATCCTCCTCCATTACCCTCCTTGTCACCGAGTCCAAGACCGACCACTCGGCAGGAATGACGTCGACCTTAAATAATGGAGAAAAGTAATCCACAAAACAAATTGAAACCTCCTTATGCCCAGTACACCAACGCCCTGCCACATCTCTTATTTTTTTAATAGTGTTCCTTCTCCGTCTAGCGGTCGCCTTTTGGTGAAAAAAATTGGTATTCTTGTCACCCCCCTTCAGCCAATCAGCCCTAGATCTTTGCTTCCAGTATTTTTCGTCACTATCCAGGATGTCGTCCATCTCCTCTTCTAGATGGCAAATCTGGTCCAATATCATAAGCATCTTCCTCCTCCACTCCATAGCCCGCAACACCTTTTCTATTCTCTTTTTTTGTTCTGCGAAAGCTGGAAAAGTTCTTTTACTCTAATTCGTCAAACCTTTCCTGCATCGATAAGAAAGTCGCCAAAATCAATCATGGCTTGTTCTTGGGCATGTCACCCTCCACTCTTCTCATCAGTACATAAGATCACCCCCACATAGCCAAGGGTCTTGTCATTGTTGACTAAGAAACGCATAAAATGCCAAGTTCTCCACTTCTCTCCACTCTCCGGCCATCAATAAACCCTGGTAAATCTCCATTTCCTTCATCTATCGCAGCATCAATATAGTGCAGGTCGTGTGACATAAGAGTGACCTTAAGTTCATCCGTCCCCCATAAACACACACCACCAGCCCTGCTCCTAAGTGACACAGTCGCCGACCAGTTCTCGTCATTCGCGTACCCAAGCGATTCCTGATGAACTTTATTCTCCCCCTTTGTTTGCTTCGTTTCCATGAGAAAAATCACATGGGGGAAGAATGTCTAAGCAACGCTCTAAGGGAGTTAACTAACTGTGTATTCCCAAATCCGCGACAATTGTAACAAATGATCCTCATCTATAACCTGAAGGGGATAGGCTCCCCGCGCCCTTTTTAGTATTTCCGGACTTTCTCCTTACCCATCCCTGGCGGATTTTGCTGTTATTCCGGCCGAGGAGGATTGGCTTTGGATAAGTCCTTTCCATCACCACCTTTGGTGGCTCGATCACTCAAGTCTACTCTATCCTTTGGTATGGTCACTTTTAGAGTTACTGACTCCTTTCCCATTGTGCAATCTTTACTCGACTTTGTCCCATTATTATTAGCCTCACTGTCTGTGCTCTTTTGAGGTGGGGTCTTATTGTCCATCTCTACCTCTGACGGTCCCCCCTTCTCAACCATTATAATATCTGATGGCTTGTCACTCGTCTCGTTCTTCACTGTCATATCTACCTTAATCGTTGCATGGCTATTACCCAACGTTTCAAAGCAATTTGCATGGCTACCGCCACGACCCACCTCCCTTCGTTTTGTGTCAATAGTAGTCCCACTCATTGGTAGTCTCGCAGGCTGCGCTTGTCTATTATTTGGTCTCTTCTTCTTCTTAGAAATCATCCACTCGTCGTACGTACTCTTCTGTACCATCTTTTCTTGTGTATCTGTGTATGACTCCACTTTATTCTCGGTCGACTCTTCCTGTATTTTACACTGTCAGCGGGAGTGTTCATTATAGATTTCACATTGTAAGCACACTTTCTCCGACCCTTCATATTGTATGAAATACTTCTTTCCATCAATTTTAAACTTCGACAACAAAGATTTTGTTAGGACCACTTGCACACAGACCTGTGGATACTCTCCTCTTGCACCTTCTTCTGTCGCTCCATCTACTCGATTTGGATTGCATATACGTGCCCCAATCTTCAGGACTGCCTCCTTATGGAAGTAGTAGATAGGTAATTCCAGTAGCCTTGCCCAAATGAGTGTCGTAGAGATTTCAGTATTGTAAGGGTCAAAATTCTAATCCCACAGGTGCACCGTTAGGTAATGATCACTAACCTTCCAAGGGCCACCCGTCAACGCTCGTTCAAAGTTACGAGCACTCGTGAACTTCACCAGATAGAATCCATTACAGGCATATGTAATTTGCAGTCCTCCGGACTTAGCCCATATAGCTTGTAGACACTTTGATAGCACAGTATACGACACAACCCTCCCCAACGACTTGACTACCAGGGCTGAGCGCCACGGACGCCTGTAAATCCGCATCTCAGCTGCTGTAAAGGGAATTGGAGGACATGTGGGATCATCTTCTTCATCAAATTTAGCTTCCATACCATATTCACGGATGGCTTCGGAAACATCCTCCGAGTCTGACTCAGCAACATATCACTCGTCCAATCTCAGCGTCTCAGCAAACAGCCATCTGCCCGCCCCTCCACCGCCGGCCAAGGCCCCTCCCGAAGACGATACATGTTCAGCTTTCATGCTATCTTTTTCAGTAGCTTCTTCCAGAAACTCGTCACTCAATTCGCTTACAGATGGCTTAACCTTATTCTTCGCTTGTTGCGCTTCCTTATCTCCCTTAACATTCGGTGATGAGGATACCGTAGGCGTTCGTCGAATTCTCGCCAATCCATCAACTCCCAGCTGGGTCAGTTTCCCTCCTCCCAGGGGTGGCGGCGGAGGCGTCGTTGCCATCACGGTCTCGAAATATTCACTCTCTAGCACTCGTAAACTGGGAATTCGCCGCTCCGATTTTTCCAGAGCAAAAAAAAAAACATATTATTTGTCTTCAGACCAACGTTTGCACTCAGGTTGGCTCACTTAAAATTGATATCAAAAGTCAAAACTCTCTTTATCTTTTGTTTTTTTCTTTAACTTTCAAAAAATTTCAATAACATGATTGACCTTCTTGAAATAACGATAAAGTAAACCTCCCTTCTTCTAATCTTTATCCCTTCCAATTTTTTGGATTCGTTAAACTGGGAAATTGGTGATAGTTAAATAGATGCATTGTTATCGGCTAATTTACACGTTTGGTCACTCAAATTATATGAATCTTTCACGTTTGCCACACAAATCACTTTTCTTTCTTATTCGTCACTGACTTTACGAATCGTTTCACCTATAGTCACTGTTCGTCCAATTTCATTAAAATCATCCTACATGGCAGTCAACTAAGCCCTTTGACCATTAGTTTGATGACGTGGCACTTAAAAAATAATAAAAATATTAATATTAATTTTTCAAATTAAAAACTTTCTATCTTCCTTCCTTCTTCCATCATCGATAAACATGATTTCATAACCAGAATTCCCGGCGGTTGTGCACATTGTTCTGGATGTGTTGTCGAAATCCAAAGAGTCACTGTCTGAGAATTCCACCATCATTATCGGCCACATCCTCATAGCCCTTCGTGGGTCTCGAACCTCAAGGATAGGAGTTGGTCCGCAACTAGCGCCGACGTTGTTAGATTGAATGGGAATCAAAGCAATTTGTGAGTGCGAACTCAATTGGTGGTGCTTGCAGAAACCATGTTCCAAGTGAGACGACCGATACGGCGGAGGCGGCTATGAGAAGTAGTTCATCGACATACCATAGACTTCCCCCACTGTAATGGATCTTTCCTTCTCCACAACATCGTCGTCCCAGGGGATGCCATTAAGGACCCAAACTTTGATCGACATCGTGACTAACGACTGGTTCACTACGAGGAAAGATGAGATCGGCTGCCGGAACAAGCAAGGGAGACCATGGTAAGGATAAGGAGACAACAAATTAGTCTCCAGATCCTCCATGGTCGGATTGTAGTTCCCCGTCAAAAGAATCGCAAGGTTTAAAGTTTGCAAGTGAACTGAATGAGTCAGCGCCGGAGCTCCCGTAGATCTCTCCATCCTCCTCGAATACCTCGCCGTTGAGGTTCCTTACCACCGATTCACTTTTCTCTTTCCACAATTAGATTTCGTCAATTACGGATTTGGATCATCCAATAAAGAAACCAATCGACGCCTCGCGCACGACCCTCAACTCCTCCATCGCGCTTTCCCCAGTGATGGCATTCTATTCCCACACCACAATCCAAATTATGGATCCTTTCTAATTTCCAGCCACGTCTCGTCGCCGTAAGAGTCGAAGAATCTGGACAAACTCCATTTCGTCAATTTTGCGCAGCAGATCTCTAGTCTGCGGAGGTTGAATGGGGAGTAGGGGTGTGCAACGGGATAGGATGGGATATCCGTTCCGTTGTAAACGTGTACCCAATCCCATTTGGAGAGCAATCTCCATCCCACGTCTCAAACCCATACGGGTTAACAGGTACCCGTTGCCCGTACGAGACGGATAACAGGTACCCATACTACCCGTAAATACCGGTTCAATTTGGAGTAGCAGCGTTGACTGCGGGGAATGCGCGTCGCAAAACTGATGGTCCTAGGGAGATTCCCGCGTCGGAGGGGAAATCGCTTTATAGCTTTGCATTTTGGGCAGTGATTAGTCAGTTGTCTTTTGTGTTCATGGCTTCATGCGCATGCGACTACTAATCGGTTAACGTCAACACCTATCTAATGGTCGATGTACTATATCCTAGCTAATACCCTACGCTTAAACTTGTTTAAATACATTTGCCATCATGATAGAAAGGATCCCTTAACCACTGGTGTTCCCCTCTTCATGTTTGCAAATCGTGTTTCATTATTTCTTACTTTCTCCACTTAATACATATCACAATCATTAGTGCCTACCAATTTTGCATTGTGCTAATGGGTATAACGGGTACCCGTATTACCCAAACAGGTATTAACGGGTAACCCGCAGGTACCCGAAATAAAAATTCTTGATCCCAAGCCCCATCCCGTAGAAAAAAAATTACGGGTATTTAGGTACACGTAACCCTCAAAATACGCGCGGGACGGGTACGGGTTTACCCAAATACCCGTTTCCCGTTGCCCACCCTTAATGGGGAGGAAGATATGAAGTTTTTTTAATTTGAAGAATTAATATATATTTTTTTATTTTTAAAGTGTCACGTCATCAAACTAACGATCAAAGGGTTTAGTTGACTGCCATGTAGGATGATTTTAACGGAATTGGACGGACAGTGACTATCGGTGAAACGATTCATTAAGTCAGTGGCGAATAAGAAAGAAAAGTGATTCGGGTTGCAAACGTGAAAGATTCATATAATTTGAGTGACCAAACGTGTAATTTAGCCCACTATTATCAATGCATACATTATAATATACATGCATATAGAAAATTGATGTATTGTAGTTTACATTGTTTGGTTTCTGTGATAGTTATTCTAATATTTAAGTAATATATATTACTTTATTGGTGAAATGTCACTTTTACCCTTTGTTTTTAATATAAAAAAGTAAAATACATCAAAAGACTGGGATATAGTTGGAAGAAGAAAACACTCCAACAATCTCAAACAAACAATCTCAACAATCACATAAAAAACTTGAGATATTAGTATCACTCATTTTGAGTGAGAGTTTCCATCACATCAAGCAAACAATGCATGAATAGTTTGTGCAGAAAATTCAAAAAAAAAAAAAACAATGCATGCATGCATGCATTGTAATATCCCAACCAAACAATCACCAAAACCAAACGACCTAGTTCTTGGTGCGCCACCATGTCATGCACCATTGCCTCTTCAAATGAATAACAACTCTATAGACAAATATCTAGCTCTAGAAGTGGTTCCAACATCAAAATTTGTGTATTGTTGATAATTCTCGCACATACCAAAATAAAATCCAATCACTCTAAACATCGAATATCTCATCACTAATTCATAATTCTAAGAGCACGGTTGCAAACTTGCAATAGTATGGGCAATAGCTTTGACGTTCATACATTATAATATTGCTTTATAGCTTGGTTCCCTTGATTGGTTCAATTAGTCCCAGGCTTCAAATGTTGCATTGTTATTTATTAAACTTATATATTATGTCTTCAAAATTTTGGTCGTTGATTGCCGTTTTTTCAAGTGCGACTAATTGATAGCAATATAATTGCAAGCAAGGTCGTATCACAAAGGCACAATGATTATTAGTCATTAGCTATATTTTCTATTATCTAACTGATTCTTTAAGTGTGTTATTTGAACTAGTAAAATAAAATTATCTACTAATCTGTTAAAACAGAAAACTAACAACAACACAATTTAACTTAGATACAACCAAGTAGATAAGACATTGTTCACATTCAAATCCCCTAGATAGTTATCAAGAAGCAAGCAGACAGGATACATGTATGATTTATTACTAGCTTAGCACCTGGCCCTTTGATCGAACGTCGTCCCGGAAATTGACTCTTTGATTCTAACTGATATTTTGCATTAACATGTATGCGACGATGACTGGAGGTAGGTCAACAACACCATATATAATAATATGATGGAAAGTCATTATCCCATTGCATTACAAAAGAAACAGTAAAACATAAACACTATAATGGAAAATCCAAACCAAGCCATTAGCCTTAAATATAGCCACTATTGGCATGCATCATGATGCTCTAAAGTGAACATGAAAAAACCAAAGGAATGCTTACCTGGCTCCAATTCATGATGGTAAAAAATGGAAGCCACCAAGAGATTTCATAAGAAAAACCCAATCTGGATTGCCCTTAGACCAAAAACCATAGTGACACCAAAGGCAATGAATCTTGGCCGAGAAAACAAAAACCAGCAATGTCCAAATCATGTCGATGGAATGCGTCGGCCAGTTTTTTCTGATAAATAGTTTTGTTAATTAAAATGACAAAAGAAAAAGAAATACAAAACATGCAATCTACTGTAGAAATCTCATATACAAACAAAAGAAATAGGCAAGCAATATATGCCTGGAAGCACCAACACATAATAATTTTTGTCAATATCCCTACCACTGTGAAATCTTACCAATCACTCCTAACCACTCTGTTACAATAAACACACAAGTGACTTACAAATCTGTACTTTCTATCTCTTCAAAATGTATAAGTCAATCGTCATGAACCCTCCCCATTATCACGGTTCTTATCTTTCTCGACAGCAAACACACTGATTGGTTCACTCTTACTCCTTCTTCGTGGAAGCTACATGGCATTTTGCATCAGTGCACAATAATTCAAACGATCATTCCTTGCTGCAATTTGTGGCTTGGGGTAATATCACTTCAGTCATAATACAAATTTCATGAAATGAAAGGAATTATAATAGCCTTGTAAAAGTTAGAGTATCAATGGTGATTCCTCTCTTCTCCTTAGTGGCTCCGTCAATAAAATGAGATTGATGGCTATCTCTACCAACACATTCTATATGATCATAGTAGGGCATTTTGTATAAATCATTTCTGCCTTACCTATTTTCGCATCGCAACTCCAAGAGCTAACTTGGTGGGGCTCTCCTCTAGGTAAACAACTTGTATCAACATCAGGCATGAAAACAAAAATTGCTTTGGTTGAGATATTATCAGGATCTTGTGATACTCTGAAGAAGGCTAAATCGTTTCTCAGGCATTGTCAACCTCCAATCAATTTGACGTGGGTCATTGCTCTATTACCATCTAAATTAAAGAGGAAGCTCAGGTTAGCCTCTTTTATAGCTTAACATAGCTTAACTTAAATTAAAGAGGAAGCTCAGGTTAACACGCTATGAGTCAATTAACTTAGATTTTGAAGTAATCTTTGACCTATAATCCATTAATCGAAGCATTAAGTCGTTCTTTGAATTCTCATATTAGGTTTCACCCTAAACCAGAAGTCCTTCATCTTCCATATTCTGGCAATTCAATAAGTCCATTCCATCACTAAGTGTTCTATCATGCATATGGGGATATCCTCCTACTCATATACACAAACATACAAGTAATCAAAAGACCGACATAAATTGAGAACTCAAATTGAATATTCAATCAATTCATAATCACAAAACTAGGGTTCATCTCATCCAAACAACAAGAAAGATTAGTTCATAAGGGATGTAGATACAAACGAAAGAGTGGTGATCTCTATGGTTGATTGTTTCGTCGACCACTTCAATTCGACTTCTCCGAGGTTGGCTAAAATGGCAAAGAAAATTTCGTATAAAAGGATGTGAAAACATGTATAATTATTCCCACTTTTAGCATGCGAACCAATGAGTTAAGACTCAATCACAAAATAGCTGCTAATTGAAGAAATAATTATCCCTCTTTTATAATTAATTAACAAATTGGTTATTTCATAGTTGTCATGTCGGTGGAATGCCGATCAGTTGAACCTAGTATAATCGCTGTCGGTCATGAAATCGGTTGGAGTAACATCTGTATGATAGACATGATTGATTTTTGGTCTTTAAATAAAACAATGTCCTTTTAGTTAATTTAATAAACAAAAAAAATTGAGTTGTGATTTATTTGATGAATTTGAAAGTTAAGTGTTAGTTGTTGGATTCAAGTATAAACATGTCAATGTTGACGTTAATGTTATATTTAAATATGAGTATTTGTTGTTTTGTTTGGGATGTTATATTTTATTTTAAATATTATGGTAGATTGTAAGTAGATAGTCTTCAAACATATTTATATATTCTTAAATTCATTTTATGTCAACAATTTTTCATATTTCTACATATTTTGTTAAACTGGTATGACCAAAATAAATAAGTTGTATCACTAGCTAAACCATACACATTGACGGAATCAAAATATTTTGGCTATGCCACAGGATACATCTAAAATTTGGGAGAAAAACTATTATTTTTCGAGCGAATATAAGACATTTAGTTCAACGAAAAAATATTAGAAATTTACATTAATACGATAAGATTTATAAAAATAAAATAAACATAGTAAACTATATCTACTGTCACTTACTTTTAAGTATAAGTAATGAAATTTTGTTAATATGAAAATTGAAAATATGTCTTGTTTATACAAAATATAATTTGTATTCATTGGTCATTTTTTCATGAATGAATTAATTTGTTATTAAAATTTTAATTATATATTCATATTTATATGATATAAATGATGACACATTTAATTCGATATTTAAGTTCTGACATTGACTATACTACTTGCTAAACCGGGATATAAACCGGTTTGAGAATCTTTTGCTATTTTCTTTGTCACACGTTCGGTAAACAAGAACGTAGAAATCACTCAAAAACAAGAACCACGAACCAGCTGTCAGCTGAGACAAACAAAAATCTCAGATTAATCAAACTCGACCCACCAATAGTACCCGCCTTTCCCCCACCGGCGACAACGATGAATCGGGCCATCTTAATCCCATTCCTCTTCTCCTCCCTTCTCTCCGGCGTCTCCCTCGCCAAACCCAGCATCTCCGTCACTCCGACCCTCCTCAATCGCTCCGGCGACGTCGTCACCGTCTTCTGGTCCAATGTCGACTCCCCTTCCAATCTCGATTGGGTCGGAATATACTCCCCGCCCGACTCCCGCCCCGACCACTTCATCGGCTACAAGTTCCTCTCTTCCTCGCCCGGTTGGGAATCCGGGTCGGGTTCCCTCTCCATACCCATCACAAACCTCCGATCCAACTACTCCTTCCGGATCTTCCGCTGGACGGAGGACGAGATCAACGTCAAGCGCCAGGATCACGACCAGAACCCGCTTCCGGGCACAAAGCATCTGCTGGCGGAGTCCGAAAAGATAGTCGAGTTCGGGTCAAGGAACGGGCCGGAGCAGATCCACTTGGCTTTTACCGACGCTGTGGATGAGATGAGGGTGATGTTTGTCGCCGGAGACGGAGAGGCGAGGAAGGTCAGGTGGGGGGAAGAGGACGGTCAGTGGAGTCACGACGCGGCGGCGCGTGTGGCCAGGTACGAGCGAGAGGATATGTGCGATTCGCCTGCGAATAGCTCCGTTGGGTGGAGAGATCCTGGGTGGATTTATGATGGGGTTATGAAGAATTTGAAGAAGGGTTTCAGATACTATTATCAGGTGAATCATAATTTGGTTTAGAAATCTTGAATTGGGTTTCTGTTGTCTTATTGTTGATCTTCTAGCTGCTCTCAAGCTGCTGGGATTCTTTCCTAACTTAGCAAAAAGTGAACCTGTTTGCTACAATTTACACTGAATTTGGGAGATTTGAGCTACCATTTTCTGCAGCTCAGATATACTGAAACTGAAAGTTCATTTTGCATGACTGAATCAAGTTTTGGGTTCTGATTGTGCAGATGAAAGTTTGAAGCTTTAAATGTTTTTTTGCCTGTTTTGTTACCCTGGATTGACGATTGTTCAATGGTCTTCTTCACAGGTTGGGAGTGACTCAAAGGGCTGGAGTGCAACTCAAACCTTTGTGTCAAGGGACAAAGACTCGGACGAGACAATAGCTTTCCTGTTTGGAGATATGGGAACTTCTGCACCATATGCAACATTCATCCGTACGCAATCTGAATCCATATCAACAGTAAACTGGATCCTCCGCGACATGGAATCTCTAGGTGAGAAGCCTGCTTTCGTCTCTCACATTGGCGATATAAGCTATGCAAGGGGCTACTCCTGGATATGGGACCATTTCTTCACTCAAATTGAGCCCATTGCATCCAAATTGGCCTACCATGTTTGCATTGGCAATCACGAGTATGATTGGCCAGCACAACCATGGAAGCCTGATTGGGCTTCTGGCACCTATGGAACTGATGGAGGTGGTGAGTGTGGTGTTCCTTACAGCTTGAAATTCAACATGCCTGGAAACTCTTCAGAGCCAACTGGAATGCGAGCGCCACCAACTCGAAACCTTTACTACTCTTTCGATTTCGGGACCATTCATTTTGTTTACATATCAACCGAAACAAACTTCCTTCGAGGGAGTCAACAGTACGAGTTCATAAAAAAGGATCTCGAATCAGTCAACCGGACCAAGACCCCTTTCGTTGTTTTCCAAGGGCACAGGCCGATGTACACTACGAGCAATGAGGTTAGAGATGCACCGATGAGGCAGAAATTGCAAGAGCATTTGGAACCACTACTCGTGAGCAACAACGTGACCATGGCTTTGTGGGGTCATGTGCATAGGTATGAGAGGTTTTGTCCGATGAATAACTTCACATGTGGGGAGAAGGGGCTTCCAGTTCATGTAGTGATTGGGATGGCTGGTCAAGATTGGCAACCGACTTGGGAACCTAGACCGGAGCACCCTGATATGCCAGTTTTCCCTCAACCAGAGAGATCACTGTATAGAGGAGGGGAGTTTGGGTATACGCGACTGTTTGCTACAAGGGAGAAGCTCACATTGTCTTATGTTGGGAACCACGACGGGCAAGTGCATGATACAGTGGAGATTCTTGCGTCGGGTGAAGTCATAAGTGGGAATGATGGTCAGAGCGATACCATGAAAGACCGTGTTGGCATGGGAAGCCAAGCTCCGGCAGCAGGACCAGGCGCAGGAGAATTTATGGTGTCGAAGTATGTGAAGGGGGCAAGCATCCTTGTCCTGGGGGCTTTCATTGGCTACATTGTTGGGTTCATTTCACATGCCAGGAAGCAGAATCCTCCAAAAGGCGAATGGACTCCTGTGAAAAGCGAGGAGACATGATACTACTATATAATTATATCTTTCGCGCAATGCCGGAATCCTGTTGCCGTGAATGTGACTCTATCTATTGCAGGTTTTCCGAAGGTTTTTGGTGTATTGCAGCTGTTACTCTTCTGCAACCCTATTTGTGTTCTGTAAATAGTCGTCCTCCACTGTATCATCTGGAAGAGTGGAAGTAGATGGGGGAGTTTGGTTGAATGATTTTACTTAAAACTGAGAGTTCCTGGGTATTGATTTTATTATCTTACTTGCTCTCTTCTCCTATAGAATAAAGGGGGAGGACGAAGGATTTCTGTATATTGTTACATCCATAACAGAAGGGTTGCACTATCATTGTTGTTTCATGTACCAGTTCTTCATGTATAGTACCATTGTATAGTCATTCATGGGAAGAGAAAGAGCTGATGAAAGAAAGAAATTTTAGTACATTGCCATCTTGTAAGAGAGGATCAAACTATATACATGCATATACACACTTTCTGGAAGGAAGAATTGACAGAACAAATACAAAAAATAACGAAGGCAAATTTGCCCAATTTGGGAGAGGCTGCTAGAAGCTGAATGATGGTTTTAGCAGTAGAATCTGGTCTTATTTGGAAAGCAAATGACGGGCACGTTGGTTTGCTCCTTTGACTCGAGAATTGAGCTCATCAACATCATCACCAAGATGATCCAACGCTTTATTTTGCCTGCATCGGAGAGCAAACCACTGTTTTTCAGTTCAACAGGTTTTTTGATAAGTTTGAGAGACCAGAGTATATCAAGACGCTGTTGCGAAATGAGATGGAGTGACCTGTCAAGTTCAGAACCCATGTCAACTGCCATGCCTTTCAAATCACCCAAGATATCGCTCAAATCTGAAAGTCCATCATCTTGCTTTTTCTTCTCCATCTGTGTGTTGAGTCATCCCATTTGTTTAACTCAGAAGTTCGCCAATTGAGAAGAGATAACTAACTGAATATAAGAGAAAGAGATATGAGAATGAGAGATAACCTCAATTTTCTGCATGGCATTTGATGGCTCAGGAGGAGGGGTTACAGGTGCTGATTTGGCTCCTGGTTTGTTCCCTATCCCCAGCTTCTCTCTTTGTGCTCTGTGGTTTGCATTCTTCCTTGATGTTTTATCTGATGCAGAGCCATAAAAAGTGGGAAGTAAGAGCATAAAGTAGGGGATTATGAAAGCAAAAAAAAAAAAAAAAAAAAAAGTGTAATATAGAAAAACCTTCTGTGATCACAGGGCCAGTGATCTCCTTGGTTTTCTTTGGCTTCCATGGCTTGGAGAACATCCCACCAAGACTGTTTAAAAGTTTCTCACCCTGAGATTTTAGCAATTACCAACAATTGTCAGTGTCTCTTCCATTTACAAATAGCAAATGATCCATTGGCTTGCTAGGATAAGTAGTTTATCCAATGTAGTATGAAGTTTCATTTTCAAATGACTTGAGTTCTAAATCTTATCTGCTCAATCCTACATAGTCCTTAGCCCAAGAATTTCAAACTAATATTTTGGGTTACAAGCATTGTATATAAGATCTTACCCTGCCTAATTAAATCACATACCGACGGAAAAATAGATGCGGTTTTATCACAATTTTATTATACCTTGATCAGGTCTCACGTTCAAACTCCACTATTTCATGATTTTCTTTGCATAAATGAATCTCAATTACTAAATTATCAATAGAAAAATCATCATCATTTGTCAAGAAAGGCAGAGAAAGCTCACTACCTTGCCCAAATCTTTGTCCATGTCGACAGCCATTTCGTGGGTTCGTTGAATTTGGTCACCTTGAGCATGCAACATATCAAGAGTCTTGGAGGCATCCGATCGAATGTCCTCTGCGATCCTAAGACAGTTATTTACAGAATTCGTTGTATCCTCAGCTTTGTACACTGCGTAACTCTCCAGCTCTTGAACGCTCTGGTTCTCCAGCCCTCCTGAATCCTTGAACCCATTCTCGTACTTCTTCTTGGCCGCCGCCGAAGGCTTCTTCCGCCATTGCTGCTCGTCGTCGGAGTCCTCGTCTGGGACATTCATCAACACGGGCTCCGAAGCCGTTCTCTTCGGCGGAGGCTCTTGCTTTGCCGCCGCGTCGCCATTTGCCGCCTGATTTGATTTCAGGAAACCGAACATTTTTCACGATCCCACAACAGAATCCGAGCCAAAGATTTGAACTTAGTTTTCTTTATTCTGCAGAAGCGATGGACCTGAGAAATCCCAATCAGGAGAAGCAATAGACGAAAACTTTTCCGGTATTGGGTTTGATGTTTAGCTATCTGCAAATTTTGGGAATTTGATGGTTGGGAAAGGAAGGGGTAAAAATAGAAGAATTGGAGTTCCGAGTTTCTTGAATTGGATTTTGTTATTGTTTGGTTGAGGAAATTGATCGAACAGGTGGAAGGCAAGGCAGCCTGACACTGAGAATGACGAAAACAGAGAAAGACGGGGCAGGGGAATATGGAGGGAGGAGAAATTTTGATTTTCCTCGTGTTTGCCCATCTTCTTCAGTCGTTACTCGTTACAGTTTGTGCTTCCTTCGATCTGGGCCGTCCACCATTGGGCCCATGATCCAACGGGATCTGCCCAAAATATCTACATTTCTGTATTATAAATTGGCCAATGCTACGGTACCGCTGATAAAAGTGCGGCACCGATGTCGCTGATTCTGATTGGCCCACGTAAATAACGACGTGGCATGAACTGGGCTGGTGGGTTGAATAAATTGGAGGCCAAATCCGTTGACCCATCAGTAGTGGCCCGAACCCTCCACTTAACCAAACGGATTTCTTCTTTCCGTTAGTTGTTTTATTTCATTAAACTTTTATCTTTACTTTAATGGTGAGTTAATTTTTTTCGCCAGAAACAGAAACGCGAAGCAAAAAAAAAAATTGTTCGTCGTCGTTCACCTATCTTTGCGGCGGACTCTGACTTCCGGCGACTTCGTCGTTGATTCAATCTCAGTGTCTACTAAACAGCTCCACTGAAATCATTCTCCGGTTACTCCTCATTCATTTTTTTTCTTTAAAACAAAGGCAATGAATCTCGCGGGCCTGACCATCCCTCTGTCTCCGGCGATGAGCACCGCGACCATAGTACCACGGGTCGTTCTACTTCCGTGGTGTGTTTGTTGTTCCAAGTCATGCATGCTGCCATGAGATGGTCAGTTTCTGTTTCCTCTATATTCTGGATTTGAAGAGCATCAGGGGATTTCTACGCTCTATCACTGTTCTGCTGTGGATCTCTTTTCCCTCTTTCATCTTGATCTTTTCTTTATTTTGGGGAAGGCTATAATTTGGAGTGAGGAGGTTGATTTTTCTTTAAATTGTTGTTGATCCCTTTTCCCTCTGTCACTGTTCTGCTTCTATTTGGATTGATTTTACTCTTATATTAATCTTCTCTTGTAGTAAAGAGGTTGCTGCTGGTGGGTGTTCCTCCTTAGATCGGTGACGTAGAAGAAGAGTAAGCAAGGAGAGGTCAGAGTTACTGTCATGTCAGTTTCTGTTTTTCCAGTTAAATGAGACAAACAGTTTGTCTATTTTTGGGCTGTGACATTACAATGTTCTTGCCCCTGTGTTCATTTTGGATTTTTGACGAATAAGATGTTCATTCCATGAAAAGGCATGAAGAATCACCCCGTAGTATCAATATGTGAAATCTAGAAACGATGGAGAATCGACACAAGACACCCGATATACGTGGTTTTCCCGTTCAATATGAACGAGACTACTCCACGGAGAACGTGAGTTCTCAGGACTGTTATTAGCTGTTGTCTCTTCTGCTTAGTTACACCAGCCGAAATCCCTTCCTAATATACTCGACATGAGACATTAGGTTTAGGGTGGCAAACTACTAAAAGGTTCTTCTAAAGTAATAATAATACATATACATCCACACGTCTCTACACTCCCCCTCAAGCTGGAGCATGAAGGTTGCGAACACCCAGCTTGGATCGTAACGTGTGGAACTGTTCGGCACCCAACGCCTTCGTGAATATGTCAGCTTTCTGCGCCAATGTGCCAATCTTCTTCGGCTCAATCTCCTTGGACATAACACGTTCTCGAACAAAATAGCAGTCCATCTCGACATGTTTCGTTCTCTCATGGAAAACGGGGTTGGCTGCAATGTGTAATGCAGCCTGATTATCACAATAGAGTGTTGTGGGCTTTTCTTGAGACACGCCCAGCTCCTTGAGAAGGAACCTCAGCCAAAGAACTTCGCTGACAGTACTTGCCATGGCTCGATACTCTGCTTCAGCTGAAGATCTCGAGACAACCTTCTGCTTCTTTGTTCTCCACGACACGGGTGCTCCACCGAGTTGTATATAGTAGCCGGTGGTCGAGCGTCTGGTCGTCTGACATCCTGTCCAATCTGCATCACAGTACGCCACTAGCTCCAAGTCTCCTGACGTAGGAAAGAATAGTCCTTGTCCCGCCGACCTCTTCAGATATCTCAAAACACGGACTGTAGCAGCAACATGTTCTGGACCTGGACATTGAACAAACTGAGACAACATGTTAACTGAATCAGAAATATAGGGATGTGTTACCGTTAAGTACAGGAGACGTCCCACTAGGCGCCTGTATCCACTAACGTCGTCGGCAATGTCTTCAGATGGACGTGTGAGTCCATGATTCTGCTCCATAGGGAAGCTGCTAGGACGTGCTCCAGTCACTCCAGCATCACTAAGGATATCCAAAGTGTATTTCCGCTGACTGAGTGCTACCACATCTGCAACTCTCGCTACTTCTATCCCCAGAAAATACTTCAATGCTCCCAAATCCTTGATACTGAACCTCTTATCAAGGAAATTCTTTACCTCGTTGATGAATGTCGCACTATTACCGGTGAGAATCACATCATCTACGTATATAAGCGCTGCCACAAACACTTCCCCTCGTTTGTAAATCAATAACGAGTGATCCGCTCGGGAGGGCTTGAAACCGAGCTCTGAAAGTGACTGGGTGAACTTCTGGTACCAGTTCCGTGAGGCTTGCTTTAGTCCATAGATGGACTTCCTCAATCTGCAGACTCGATTGTCTCCTGGTTTAGCAAAGCCTTGCAGAACCTGCATGTACACTTCTTCTTCAAGATCGCCGTGCAAGAAAGCGTTATTTACATCAAGTTGATGTAAATCCCATCCACGCTTGATAGCAACAGCCAATAGGACTCGCGCGGTGACTACCTTGGCTACTGGGGAAAACGTGTCATGGAAGTCTACCCCTTCCAATTGCGTGAATCCCTTTGCAACCAATCGTGCTTTGTACCGTTCTATTGTGCGACTGTGCCATCAGGTCTATATTTCACTTTGAATACCCACTTTGCTCCTATAGCCTTCATCCCTTGTGGAAGTGACTCCAACGTCCATGTTCCATTGACCTCGAGAGCTCGCAACTCTTGAAGCATAACTTCTCTCCAGCACGCATGTTTAACTGTTTCTTCGAAGGTCTTAGGCTCTTTGATTTTGGTGATGGCAGCAAGATATGCTCGATGTTGTAGCGAGATATTCTCATAACTCACATGGTTGGCAGCAGGCCATGGGGTACGCCACCGTTGCATCCTCACGCGGCTGTCCAACAAGTTCGGCATCATAAATGTCCACCAATTTAGGTGGAGGACGCCGTACTCTGGCTCCAATCAAAGGTGGATTTTCGGCTTGCGGTGCTTCCTCCGCTCCTGCGTTCCCCGCACCACTCTCATCACTTTGTTGAGGAACATTTTCTTCATGATTATCATGAAACTGAGTCTCGTCGAAAGAATGGTGACCATGTGAAGTTTCTAACTCGTCGTCCTCGTCATGCTCTGCATGCACAACCGGATTGACATCCTCAATCTCTACATCTTCAATAGGCATCGTCGAGACCGACTTCAGCCCCCCACTAGAGGTCGACGTCCCTTGTTCCTGAAAGGGGAAAACATTTTCAACAAAATGAACATCTCTGGATGAATATATGCGTCGAGAATTTAGATCATAAACCCGAAAACCCTTTTGGGATGCCGGATATCCGAAAAAAACACAAGGTCTCCCCATCTCGACGAACTTGTCGAGTCCATGACGTGTGTCTTTTGCATATACCAGGCACCCAAAACTGTGGAGATGGTCATATGAGGGTGGACGATCAAGGAGCACCTCATATGGTGTCTTGTTTCCAAGAACACGAGAAGGCAACCGATTAATTAAAGAACTAGCTGTGACCACACATTCACCCCAAAACCTGACCGGAAGCCCCGAGTGAAAGCGCAGAGCTCGTGCAGTATCTAGGAGGTGACGATGTTTTCATTCAACAACTCCATTCTGCTGGGGTGTGTCAACACATGTGGTTTGTAACAAAATTCCATGCGCCTCATAGTAGTCGTGCAGGCTGCTGGTCTGGAATTCCAACCCATTGTCAGCTTGAATTCGCTGAACCTAAGAGTTAAATTGAGTATGTATCATCTGACAAAACTGTCGAAGGTACCGCTCGACGTCAGACTTAAATTTAAGCAAATAAATCCACATGGTCCGACTATAATCATCCACCATGGTCAAAAAATAATGAGAACCATCCATAGAAGGAGTGCGATAACCACCCCAAATATCCACATGAATTAACTCGAAACAGCCACGAGTTTTAATGGACTATGAAGTAAAAGGTGTTCTTGTCTGTTTAGCACGTAAACAAGAATCACAATGACGATGGTTCCGATCAAAATCCAAAATCTTCAAACTATCCCGCAAAGAAGATAATTTGTCAATAGAAGGATGCCCCAGCCGGGCATGCCATAGATCCAGAGAGTTCCTCCCAACCGCTGCACAAACTGGAGGAATGCGGCGCCCTGAGAAAGTGAAGTCCCCAACGTGCCGAAGATAATAGAGGCCATCACGCAGCTGGCCCAGTGCAATCATAGTCCTGGAGCATAAGTCCTGGATAATGCAGAAATCAGCCAAAAAGAGCAAAGCCACGTCATGGTCTTTAGTCAGCCGACTAACAGAAAGTAAGTTGCACTTGAACGTAGGCACAAGAAGAACTCGATCAAGTTTGAAACGATCATTCAAATATAATGAACCAACTCCCTGAACAGGAATACTAGCTCCGTTCGGGATCCGAACAGGAGAGTGAGGTCCTGTTGTATCTATTGTATTCAACAAGTTTGAATCCCGTACTATATGCTCGTTGCAACCGGAATCAATGAGCCACTCATAAAGTTCAGAAGTATTACCCACCATATGAGTCGTTGGTTTGCTGGGCGTGGATGGTGGTGCAGAGAGGAACTGCTTCAAGTGTGCACGATGGGAACAACGTGGCTTGTCATCGTCAGCATCCTTCTCCTTGTGTGATTGAAAAGCAGCAGCCTCCACGACTGGACGCCGTGCGCCCGTAATGTGGCGTTGTTGTTCTTCTGCTGCCACGAACTGGTAAGCTTTAGCTAGAGAAGGAAGTGGCTTCATGCTCAGGATTTGGGATCGTACGACTGAGAAGGAATCATCGAGCCCGAGCAGGAAGTCATTCAGATGCTCCGCCTCTTGCTTGTCCCGATTTTGCTTGGCGACATCGCAAGTGCACAAGCCGCATGTGCACCTCGGATTGATGGTGACTGCCTGGAGTTCATCCCACCATGTCCGCAGCTTCGTGTAGTAGGCAGAAACATGAAGCTTCTCCTGTCAGAGTGCGCCAAGCATCCTACACAACTCATATGCGCGCGTGGCCGAGCCAACGCCAAAACGCTGCTTTAAATCAGCACATATTAAACGAGCAGTCCGTGCAGCCCTAACGTTGTTGCGAACTTCCTTGCTCATAGCAGTTTTCATCCAGCCTTTAACTGTGGCATCACAACGACACCAGGCCTCATCACAAATTTCGGGTCCCGCCTTTGAACGCGGGAGAGAACCATCCACAAGCGCCATTTTATTTTTGGCGATCAAGGTCTCAGTCATATCATTGACCCATTCGTTGTAATTCAAATCCGTCAATAAATCACTGCCAAACAAATGACCAGGGTTCTCTGACGGATGAAGATAGAGAGGAGACGTGAGCGGAATCACGTCATCGAAGGTTGAGGAAGACAGAGTCCCTTTTCCAAGCTTGTCTTCGTGGCCCATGATAAAACTTCAAGCTAGTGACCGATCAAAGCTCTGATACCATGTGAAATATAGAAATGATGGAGAATCGACATAGGACATCCGATATACGTGGTTTCCCCGTTCAATATGAATGAGACTACTCCACGGAGAACGTGAGTTCGCAGGACTGTTATTAGTTGCTGTCTCTTCTGCTTAGTTACACCAGCCGAAATCCCTTCCTAATATACTCGACATGAGCCATTAGGTTTAGGGTGGCAAACTATTAAAAGGCCCTTCTAAAGTAATAATAATACATATACATCCACACGTCTCTACACATTAAGAGATGAACAAGCTATACGTAACCACGTTCAGGAGGGGAAAATAATAATGAAGATACCGAACAAGACAAATTTGCTACCTAAGTAAAACTTAGAAAGAGCATTAGTAGCTACATGAACCAAACCAACTGCCAGCAAAGTCAGCAGCTTTCTGGGGATGCTACTGAGCAACAAGAGTAGCTCACGCTGGGTACCATTTTTCTTAGAATAGTTAATAGGTAAATCATATAAGAAAGGATATGGATGTATGATGAGCTGGTTTTTTGAGACTGTGCCACTATTCATTTCTAGGCTTGTGCATTTTGTTTGACAGAGGTTTGCTTTAGCTCCCATGTCTATTGCAACTTAATGGATACCTGAAATTATTTAAACAATGGTTGTGTGAAAAGCTCACAGAAAATGAGTGTTTACTGATGCATAATCAAAATGTCTTAATGCTGTAATCAGGTTGTTAGGTTCTGATGCCATTTTTCCAAAAAAAAATACAAAAATCTCTGATGCCATTCTAGCCTGGAATGAAGCCTTGCTGATGCAAATGAAGGATTCAGGTTCAACCTCCTTACACACATGGAACGTCTTTGACCACTGCGGATGTACATAACCATCACCACGTAACAAAATGTGTAATTATCTTGTTAGTATTGCAGGCTTTACAAAGTCAGGGACAATGAGTTGGAGAAAATATTTTGCTGAAGCGAACCCAATCTGCGAGTTAAGTTGCTAGTCTACCAATGCCTTGAGGTGGATAGTCTCTACGAACTAGCAACACCATGTTCAGTCACGGAAGGACTTTCACAATATGTTGTTCGCTCTTCTTCACTTCCTTGCATAAATCCAAATTCTTTCTTCCCCAACACTCAGTCACTTGCTCTCAAACTTCTCATGCATGGCATTCTTAGTAGACAATTGATCAACTTCCAACACAAACTCACTATTTTAATAGTAGAGTTTGATGATTTTACGGACCAAAAATTAGTCGACATCCAACATAAACTCAGCTCATTCTAGACTTGAGAATATTTGGCCATCTTTTTGGGATTTTTCCAGAAATAGAACCTTTAAAAAAATTATAAAAATAGCACCTTTTTTTAAAACCGCACCCCTGGTGCGTTTTGTCTTTAAACCGCACCTTGGGGGTGCGTTTTATCTTTCTGGGCCAAAACCGCATCTTGGACATGTGGTTTGCGGTCTGAACTAACCAAACCGCATGGCCCATATGCGGTCTAGGCCTGACCTAGCAAAACCGCACTTTGGGGATGCGGTTTTGCTTCCCAAAACAAACCGTACCCTCAAAGTGCGGTTTTGGCAACACAAACCGCACCCCCCCCCCAATGCGGTTTGTGTGTCTATTATTTTCCGACACCAGACATGCAGCCATGCAGATTGACAGACGTGGGGCTGCATGGCAGATGAAAACCGCACCTTAGAGGTGCGGTTTTCATTGATGATTTTGCCTATAAAAGGCAGCCTGGGAAATCTTCTTCTCTTCAAACCTCTCCTTCTCCCTTTTCAATTTTCTATTGTAGTTCCCTATTTCTCTAGTGTTTTTGCGGTTAACGTTAACTCGTAAGTTTATTTTGTATTACTTTTTATTGTGAATTGTGATTTTTATGATATTAGTTGAACTACTTTTTTTTTGCAGATGGCATTCCAAAAGTTCACGCTTGGGTTACAGTGGAATGGTTACACGGAAGAGAGCGGAAAGGGGGTCACCTACGTCGGTGGCAATTTTCAGAAAATAAAGGTCGCTACCAGACTGATGCTTGAAGACCTCTATCAAATGTGTACTAACGTTACTTGCATGGATGACACGAGAAGAGTTGATCGTATGGTGTACCGATATCCAAACAGAGAAGGCAGGTCGTTGTGGCACGAGGAATATCTCATAACCACTCAGAATGAGGTAGATGCCATGCTCGAATTCTTGAGGTCCAACAATCTTTCCAAAGCCGAGATGTTCGTTTATACCGAGCCGGTCGTAGGCATTGGAGGTCATTCTGGAGACGGTCAAACATCTAGTATTCATGGTGAAGGTGAATTATATGACATAAATACTAAATTATCATAAAACAAACATACTAAATTAATTGACATAAATAACATTCTAAATGAATAATAATTTAAAGAGATACATACATATTCAAACATTTTAAATTAATAAAATTCATTTAAGTACACATAAACATAAATCGTATTGGTTGTTTGGTAAGTAATTTATCGTATTGGTTGTTTTAAATAATTTAATCGAATACAATGCAACACTCGTTAGACTCTTAGAAGAGGTATACATCTTCTTAGAAACGCAACCTTTTTGACAGAAAAAGGGGGATCCGAGGATCTCTTAATACCCGATTTTCCCAAGAAATGGGAGGATCATGATAATCGCTTAAAACCCCATTTCCTTAGACGTGCATCTCTTTATAAAGAGTCGAAGTAAGTGGCGCTATGTATTCGATTAAATTATTGAAAAAA